AGAAGAAGAAGAAGAAGAAGAAGAAGAAGAAGAAGAAGAAGAAGAAGCCATCTTTAACGAGTTTACAAAGTTGATTAAAAAGGACATGACTTAAAAAAACATCCAAGAAAGAGAAAAATAAGATGCAAAATCAATACGTTAGAAAGCAAAAGAAAAGAGAAATACAACAGAGAGGGGAAGCTAAGGGGGGTAAAAAGACCAGATGGGATAAGATAGGAAGGAAGAAGGGGGGAAAAAGCCACAAAGGTATGAAACAAGATGTGGAAAAGAAATCTTTTTTTAGGGATAATGGGTAATGCATAATTTTGTTCCAAAATGTTTCTGCAAGGTACATGATAGTATTGTAGTATTTGTATTAGAAATAGAAAATTAGAATTTTATAAGATTTAAGTAAAGATTAAAACATTAAAGGTTTAATGATGATAGATTTTAAGATTTAATAAAATATTAAAAGGAATGTTTAAAATACTTAGTTTAAGTATAGAGTTTAATTGACTATTGCGTGGATGTGTGTATGAACTTATTATTATGGTATTTGTTTTTGAGATAGATAATTGGAATGCTATGAGATTTAATGTTTAATTATATATTTAATTACTTTATGGATTTACTATTTTAGTAAGTAGAATGTACTAAGCAGAATTAGATAGGGAACTAGGTGTTACCTTAAATGTTAATTTAGGGGAGCGATGGAAAGGTATCATACTTCGATTAGTGATTTCAGGAGAATTTTTTTTTTCTAATATGAATGAGATAAATGGATAATTGGAAAAGAATGGACAAAAGATACAAATATAATGATTTAAATTAAGATGAAATAAATAAAATAGAATTAAGAAGAGTGGAAAGCGGGGAGAAGTTATAATGGAGATATAGAAGGGTAATAAGATAGGTAATGGCATATAAGTTGAACATGAATTTAATTGAAGTCCATACAAAGAGAGGTAATCCGGGGCCAAGCTACTTTTTAAAAAGAACTTTTATGTTTTTGTGTTTTGTGTGTGTATGTTTGATTGAGATTTAATAAAACCTTGGGAGAAAGCGAGAAGAATATTTGTAAACAAGGCAGAGGAAAATATGAATATGATGAGTATAAAATGGATAAATATAGAAGAAATGTAATTGAATAAGAGCAAAGAGAAATAATGAGAAATTTGCTAAAAAATATTTAAGTGGAAATGGGATATATTAGAATTATATTGTATAAAATAATGTTTTATCTGCCTTGTAAAAATTTATAATGGAAAGAGGTTTAATGTCTTTAATGTCTAATGATGCTTTGTTTGTCTTTAAAATTAATAAAATTTGTTTCAAAAAAAAAAAAAAAGATGAGCTGGCAAAGAGAAAGCATCCCTAATTCACATAAAACCTATTTAACAAAATAATGTGATTCAGAGTTAAACAGCACACACCTAAATATTCCCAATTCTAGCTCAAAGTACTTTTGTACTGAAACCTATACCAACACTTCTTACACACAAAATCAAAAACTAATAAAGTACTCCACCCTCTCAAATATGCTTTCATTCCACATTACAGAATGAACATTTTCTCCTGATATCTCAGACCTAGAAAGTTATGTAAACTATTTTCTTCTGCTTTCGTAAGTGCATAATTTTATTTGATAAAATACCTGACACATCTCCTGTAATTGCTCCAGAGAAATTTGATGATAAATTTATCAGGGAACAGATTGCACACCAGTCAAAGGTGAAAAACCTTTCCATGAACAAATGTCTTAATCCAAGATGCCAAATAACTGAGGCATGAACGGAGGAGGAATTACATGACTGCTCACTTGACAATATATAATATGAATGACATACAAAAACAGGATATTTCCAGAACAAATTCAAATATAACAGTATCTTGCAGGTGGAATACATGAGCAAAAAAGCAGAGATGGGCTAATGCTGGATATCACACGGTATACTTTTTTTGAACTGGTATTTCCAGGTCCTAATATACATCTAATCTGCTAATCTGACTTTCTGTATGCATGGCATTATGTAGATTATCAGATGATATCAGAACTATAAGATGTCCAAATTATGCAGCATTCTAAATGAGTTTTTAATTTATTTAAAAAAATTATACAGTTGGTCAACTCACACACAGTGACTCTGGATGGCTTACAGAAATAAAACCCAATACAAAAGCCAATAAATTCCCACCCCTCCTGGCACAACAATTAAACTAGCCCCATGATTGCTCCATATTACCATGGGATCCCCAGTTTCATTGGCAAACCATGTTTTGAAAGATGTCAAAGTGAGGGCCATTTATTTTTGCATGATGTTCCATAGGGAGAGTGTTACCCCAAAGAAGGTGTTTCTTGATCCCACCAGATGGAGCTCCTTAAGAGAGGGGACCTGAAACACATCCTGCCTCTGCACTCTGTTAGATATAACTGTGGAAAGATGTTTCTTCAAATAACCTGATTTCCAGCCATGGAGGCCTTTAAAACTTTAAAGCCAGCACCTTGAATTGGACCCAGAAGTAAATCAGCCAATGTAGCTCCTGCAGGAGAGATGACAGCTGTGCAAATCTAGATTTTCACAAAATCAAGCTACCCCATTTTGAACCAATTGGAATTTCTGGATACTTTCAAGGACAGTTCCATGTAGGGTATATTGCGGTAATTAAGATAGATGGTGACTAAGGTGTGGGTGACTTGTGAGCAGAATTGTTGGTCCAGGAAAGGGCATAACTGATGCACAATTCAGAATTGTTCAGAGACCTTCAAGCCATGACCGCCACCTCATCCTTACAATTAGGATTGTAGCGATACATAAATCAGACTCTGACTTTGAACTTTTGATTTAATATATTGACATTTTAAAATATTTTTCTTTGCTAACCATATTCAGCTAGCCAGTGGCGTGCATTTGACTTTGTAACATAGTTTACTTACTACTTTTGGTAGCAGGATTTCAAAACAGAGTGCCTGACAATAAGGTTTATTCATGGAACAGTAATATTTGGTATACTACAAAATATAACCAACTAATTCTTCTCCAGGTATGCTTATTAATAGCTTGCAGAACAGCATATAATAGCTCAGAATAATATTTCTTGATACTATTTATTTTAGATCATACTTTGATTAGCTATACTTAAATACAACTATGTATTTTTCAAAATGGGGTATTTTTTTTAAAGTAACTAACTGTAAGATCATTGTAATTTAGAAATATTCATTTCTTTATTTAGAAATGTTTAGTCTACTTCTGAGGGTAGATTGGTCTATCATGATACACATTGCTCCATTTATAAGATCAGCATAAAATTGCCTTTTTTCAACAATAAAGATGTATAACGACAACAATGAAATTAATGGTATATGGATGGGGTTCATATAACTTTATTCTGAATTATAGAAATGTTTTAATTATTTTAAATTTACACGGTATTTCCTAAAATGTGCTACAATTAATTTTAATTATCTTTTGTTTTCAAGTATTTTTTTTTTTATAATCATGAAGAAAATATACAAGGTTGAAGACTAACCTCTTCTAACTGACAGGCTTTGATGACACTTTTATATCGATATTCATCATAAGAAACACCAAATATTATGTTTTCTTTAATTGTTCCAGGCATAATCCATGACACTTGAGGACAAAAGGAAATTCTTCCACTGTGTTTGATTTTACCTTCTAAAGGTTCCAACTCTCCCATGATCAGCATTAGAAGAGAAGTCTATTATTGAGAATGATAGCAATAATTAATATTTGTTCATTAGATCTGTACAACAAGCCTACTAAACTTAACTGTTCTTATTCTGCTATTTTTAGATTAATGGGACATACCAAGGTCATATTTAATCTTTAAAACAATATCAGAGAAATGTTTAAATGTCTGCTTAATTCTAGCAGAGCTCAAAATGTACAATTATTAAAAACTCAGGAAAAACAGTCTAGATATTAGTGTCTTAATGGCAATGTTTCAACTTTAAAAGGCAAAAGAAATGTGAAATTGTCTGTAAACTCTAAATCTGGTGCTTACCTGTGCCTTTTGAAATTGATTAATTTTTAATTCATTATATAAATAATCTGTGCTGATCTTGCATTTCTTAATATTTATTTCAGCATTTTATTTCAATACTAATTTGAAAAATCTTCAGAAAGCTATGGAATACATATTCCAAAATCAAATGACAAGAACCTACTTTAATTAGAAATAATAATCTACTAGCAATCAACATATATCAACAATTGAGAATATATGTCAAAAGTAAATCCAAGCACCAAAATAAAAAAGTAGCTTTAAACAATTTTATGTGTTGAGGACACAGAATCTGATTTCCTTAGTTCTTTGCAGAATTTACTCATTTTGACATTCTTAGCATGAAAATAAATAAGCAGTCACACCTAGTATAAAAAACCATTGAGCACAATAAGAGTAAAAAAAACATTATATTTATTAAAGAGTCAAGAGTATTATTCCTTAAGCATCAATAGAATGGAAATGCCTGGTTTCGGATTCTCTTCAGTGTTTTTGAAAAAAAATCGCAACATTTATTTTGTAACAGTAGTATTTGTTTCATTTAAAATATTTTAAATGTTGGGGACTTCCTCAACTATATTGATATCTCAGTTGCAGAGAATATGAATGGCACATGGCCTGGGCACATGGCGTGGATTCTGCATTGCAATACTCAAAGATACAAAGCTCACGTTATTATAGGCAGAACAATATTTGTATTTTAACTCAATACTAGACTAGCTTAGTATGTATGGTATGTTATGTATGTACAGTATATATATGCCCTTATGCACACACACACACACACACACACACACACACAGAGTATATTGCTGAATTAACATATTTATACTTTAGCAATCAGCCTTTTTTTTTTTTTTACCTTGCCTGCTCCAGTAGATCCAGCAACAGCAAGTAGTTTTCCTTTTTCAATCTTGAAATTGATGTCTTTAAGGACAGGAGTAAAATGAAAAGTGAAATTACTGAAGAAGAGACCATCATTTGTTGATGGTATCTTATTATTACCATGTTCCTGTTTTGTTTTTGTGAAGATCTCTCCACTTCCCTGAAAAGAAAGAAAGAAAGAAAGAAGGAAGGAAGGAAGGAAGGAAGGAAGGAAGGAAGGAAGGAAGGAAGGAAAGAAAGAAAGAAAGAAAGAAAGAAAGAAAGAAAGAAAGAAAGAA